ATATATTTTATTTATTTTTTACAGAGAAGAAGGGAGAGGTATAGAGAGTTAGAAACATCGATCAGCTGCCTCCTGCACACCCCCTACTGGGGATGTGCCCGCAACCAAGGTACATGCCTTTGATTGGAATCGAATCTGGGACCCTTTGGTCCGCAGGCCGATGCTCTATCCACTGAGCCAAACTGGTTAGGGCTTACTTTTTTTAAATTACTGCTTCAATGTCATTAGTTGTAATCTGTCTATTCAGATGCTCTGAGTCTTCCTGATCCAGTTTTAGAAGATTGTATATTTCTAGGAATTTTATCTATTTCTTCCAGATTGTCCAATTTGTTGGCATATAGTTATTTTCTAGAAACTATCTTTTAAAATATTTTCATATTATGTTAAGTATTGAAAAATGAAAAGTAAATTTCTTATTTGGGTACCATGTTCATTCTAAAAATAAATAAAACAATTGCCCAACGGGTATGGTTCAGTGGTTGAGCATCAACCTATGAACCTGGAAGTCATGGTTCGATTCCCAGTCAGGGCACATGCTTGGGTTGTTGGCTTGATCCCCAGTAGGAGGCATGCAGGAGAAAACTGATCAATGATTCTCTCTCATCATTGATGTTTCTATCTCTCTTTTCCTCTCCCTTCCTCTCTGAAATCAATAAAAATATATTTTAAATAAAATAATAAAATGATGTAAATGATTGCCTTTATTATTTAAAAATTCTCCATCTGCTCTATATTTAATGTACTTATCCTTTCTCTGTTAAAGATTGTCAGAGACTGTCACTGAAGTGACCAGTAATTCCCTGTCCACTTGCACAAAATCGGGTCCATCTCCCCTTTCTTCTCCAAATGGGAAGTTAACTGTAGCAAGTCCTAAGTGAGGACAAAAGAGGGAAGAAGGATGGAAAGAAGTTGTAAGAAGGTGAGTACTTGTTTCCTTGATTGCTTTTCTCAGTTTTTAAATATGCTCTATTTCAAATTGAAACATGGATTAGTACCTTACAGTTAAATTCCTCCAAGTGTTTCAGAGGTTGCAGACTGGTGGCCCAAGGCCAAATCTTGCTAACAGAGACGGTCTACATCATATTTTAGATGATAAAAACACACAACAGCATATGTTAATATTCTTAAAAATTAGGAGCTTTTTACATAAAAAGATGACTGTTATCTGCTTAATCCTTATAGGTAGTGGTATTTGATAGAGAACTCATGTAACTTTTTTAAGGTGAAAGATAGATGGTGTTTTGTTCAGATTTGTAATCTCAGAGCCCAGGTAATGTCTAATGCATGCTTGTAAGTATTAGAAGAATGAGTAAATATTGGTTTTAAACTTTACTACACACCCAGAAAGGATTTTAAATCTTTGATGACCTATGTTAAAGAACTCCCTAGAAATTCCATCAAAAAATTAGACTTCTGATTATTTGAAGCAACAGCTTTCTTTATCTCTGTCTTTTTCTCACACATACACATTAACTTATTCACATACACTATTGTAGTCATTGAAATCACAACATCCAAGTACTCTCTGTACAAAAATAAGGTAATTCAGTTTTTCCATGTGCAATTTTATATTGTGATTACAAAGACATTCCTAGCATTTCAAAATAATAATCACTGATTCATTATTCTCTTTAGGGAAGAAGGAATTGTCAAGAAATTTAGATATGTATATAAAAGGGCAGGGGTAACATCTTACCTTTTTAAAATATAACTTTTAAATATGTTTTCATTGATTTTAGAGAGAGGAAGAGAAAAGGAGATCAAACATCAATAAGCCATGGTTTGGCTGCCTCCTGCACGCGCCCTACATGGGGATCAAACCTGCAACCCGGGCATGTGCCTTAACCGGGAATTGAACCATGACTTCCTGGTTCATAGGTAGACACTCAATCACTGAGCCATGTCAGCCAGGCTGTTTTGCTTTTTTTGAAATCTCAGTGGGTTCAGTTTCTCATACTACTGAACATTCTTTTAGTGAGTCTCTATGTCTGGATAATTTTAATGCCTCCAGAAGAATGCAGGGAAACAAATTTTTAATGTCATCCTTTCAGTTACATATTAGAGAATAAAAAGAAGAATGTGAACCAATCACCCAAATGTGCCCACAAGAAACCATTTTTACCTCCTTGGGCTGGATTAGATGCTCTAACCACTGTTTATTTAGTTTATCTTATTAAACCACTCTAGGCATGGTATTATAGCTCTCACTTGGTGTCTGCATAGTCAATATACATACATATGGGCAGAAACCCATGTCTCTCTTATTTGCTATTTTATTTGCATTAGCACAGTGCATGTCTACATAGTATGTACTTTACACATATTTATGAAGAATGAAAATCAACAGACCAATCTTTCGTCATTATATTTTATCTCTTTCCCCCCTCCCCTCCTTTCCCTTTCCCTTCAGTCCCCTCCCCTCCCCTCCCCTCCTTTTTCCTGTAATTCCTAGTTGCCTTTTATCACCTAGAGTGAGAATAGATAGAAAACGCTTATTCAACAAAAATCTATTCTGTATTTTCAAAAACATATTTTAGTAGTACTCTCTCTTATTTTAATGACAACCACTGAAACTAATGATTTATTTTAATTTATCTTTGCAACTTTTAAACAGGTCGAAGAAAGTATCTGTTCCATCAACTGTGATATCCAGAGTGATTGGAAGAGGAGGCTGTAATATTAATGCTATTCGGGAGTTCACGGGTGCACACATAGATATTGATAAGCAGAAAGACAAGACAGGAGACCGGATAATAACTATAAGGCAAAATTTTATCTCTTATGTTTTCTTCCTTTGTGTTATATTGCACTATAGATTGATGAAATACAAGCATTTGAGTTTTCAATGGAACTTTGCATTTAATAGCATACTTTTTAAAAATTGGAATTTTAGAAGATAACCTTTATAATTTTTTCACATGAAGTATTTCAAAGGGCTTTGAAGGCATATTTCTTGTGTGCGACAAAAGTTTAGATTATCTTTTCCTTACATAACTGTTCATATGACATTCTTAAAATTTATTCTGAGACTTTTAAAAAGGATTTCTTAACAACACATTTTAAGCAGGTTTTTATCTTTCTTTTAAGTTAGCATTTGAACTTTGGTATTCTGAGATTGTGTCCTTAGAATATGAGCTCATAATAGATTTAAACTTGAAGTGGATATTTGTCTTGAATTGAATATGTGTGTACCTGAATACCCTTAAAATAAAGATGAAATTCTGAGGAACCATAAGTTTGGTGCCCCTTCACAGTAATAGGAGAACTGAACTGATAGTTTTATAGCTTACCTTGTGTTTATTCTCCTCTCCTATCTTGTTTTCTCTCTCCTGGACTAGGTCGGTGGTCACAGTCTGCCTTATCTAGAGCAGAGGAAAGCAGATACCATTTATAAGTAATTTCCCCTATAGGTTTTTTTAAAATATATTTTTATTTATTTCTGAGAAGAAGGGAGAGGGAGAGAGAGATAGAAACATCAGTGATGAGAGAGAACCATTGATCGACTGCCTTCTGCACGGCCCACACTGGGGATTGAGCCTGCAACCTGGGCATGGGCCCTGACTGTGAATTGAACTGTGATCTCCTGGGTCATAGGTTGACACTCAACCACTGAGCCATGCCAGCTGGGCCCCGTTAGGGTTTTTGCTATCAAAAATTTTCCTGAAGAAACAACACTTAGGGTTTGACCTTGTTAATATTGTTTGTATTATCAGGATTCCTTTCATTTTGAGACATCATTCCAGAGAATTATAATAATTGTTCTACTAGAGAAACCACTAATAAGTATGTCATAGATGGAGTTATCTTAAGTTCCAGGATTTAAAATAAAATACTGTTTTCTTGCTCAGTTCTATTATTTTCCTTGTTTACTTTGCTTTTAGTATTGATCAACTGTTTAACTTACAGAAACATTATAGATTAAATATTTAAGTGCAGTAGTTTTTCTAACTAATGTATTTTATCGTAGGAAAGTTATTTTTTAATCTAAGGAAACAATAGTAAATGGAATTTCTAGAAAATAAGTCACTATTCCTTTGAAAAATATAGTGGCTTGTCAGGACATTGTATGGCTTTATTTGCAGAATACCTTAAGAGTTGGCTATTGTTCTCTCTATGTACATATATACACACATGCTAATGAATTTAGGCTTTACGTATTTAAAAATAGACCTAATTTTTTTTGTCAACCTACAGGGGTGGCACTGAATCAACAAGACAAGCAACTCAGTTGATCAATGCTCTGATCAAGGATCCAGACAAAGAAATTGATGAACTTATTCCAAAGAATCGTTTGAAAAGCTCAGTAATCCAAAATAGAGGGTCCTCAGCACCTACCACCACTGCTGCTAACAGTTCCTTAATGGGAATTAAAATGACGACTGTAGCTCTGTCATCAACATCTCAAACTGCCACAGCACTCACTGTGCCTGCAATTTCTTCTGCATCTACTCACAAAACCATTAAGAACCCAGTGAATAATGTGAGGCCTGGTTTTCCAGTTTCTCTTCCATTAGCATATCCTCCTCCACAGTTTGCACATGCTT